AAAGCCCACCAGAACCCCAATGGCATTTGTGTGAATGGAGAGGGGGAAACCCCCAGAGCGATGAACGCATCCCTAACGAAAGGATGGAGCGCCAGTCGTAGTCTATACTCAATATGAGCAAGGTATAGCGGTACTCTGCTTTTGCCATAGTGGTACACCGGCTCGTCCCTATTGGGCGCTGCAAGTGTAATGTCCCTAGGGATGTCATAGTGGTCATATTATTGCTCAAGCTCTCCAATACAGATCTTTGAGTGGATAGGCCGGAGAAGAGCAATCCTCTCCTCATTACGGCCGGTGGTGGAAGTCAGAGAAACCATTGAAGGATTTTTATTACAAAAAGACTTGAGAAGATTAAGAGAGAGAAGCGCCAAAGATTTTTGGGCAAGAGTTCGTAAAGAATTCTTCTTCGCCCCAATAAGCTATTTATAGAATTCCAGAAGGACACGTGGATTAATCTAGATGGTTGTCTTATTTTGAAATGAACGGGTGAGATTCACCTCAAAATCTCAAACGGTTCACTCGAAACTCGAAGCACCTCTCCTCTTTATTCCACACCTCTTCGCTTGAAAATTGAAGCGACGCCATAACTCTTTAACAACTGACATCTTCATTATATTTCTAATAAGTGACATTTCACCTGCTCAATAAAATGCTTCTGGAAGCTCACTAAATGACATTTATTCGGCGAGCAGTCGACTAGTCATTGGTTGACCCTCGACAACCGACACCAGATTTCATAGAACATATTTTCTAGGCATTCGCCCAAGAAGCTCAAACGCCGACTAGCAAAAATAGTCGACCAAATTGGTTCAATATTTAGACAAAAAACAAATGCATCAAACATTCAAGATGTGTCTTCTCAATGAAGGATGAGCGCCCTTGAGTCGACAGTCAAAGTTTACAAGTCTATATTGGAGCCAAGTCATGCAGAAGACACATTGGGATTGCGCAAGATAGAAAGCAATTTCAGATTCAAAAATATTTTTGTATTCATTTATGATTTACAAGATGCAATGTATACATACATACAGTAGAAGACAAGAGGCAAGAAAGTCCTAGGAGGCTAAGAGAAGTCCATTCCAGCTCCTGGAGTCACAGGCGGGGATCCTCTGGGAGTAGTCGACGGAGGAGTTAGGTAGTCTCCCCCTTCATTCAATTCTCCTTCTTCATTGCCTAGATCGAGGCCCCCCCAAGTGCTTCCACATCCACCAACTCGTCCAGACAATTGGCCACGATAGGAGGGTAGTGGAAGAGATCAAATGGGTTCCTCATCTCGACTGGGAGTTGCACCGATAGATAGTCGTACCCGGCCTCGTAAGCTATTGCCACTTCGATCTTTCAAGTTAAGCTCTGGCGATAATCATCAATGACCTCCTGGCTATAAGCCTCGGACTTGAGGTGGGCGACCTCCCCTTAAAACTTGGCGAGCTCTGCTTGCTTTTTGTTCAACTAACATTGTGCATGCATCTCCACCAGCTTCTCTATTTTGACCTGCGCTAGAGTGCGGTCCCTCTCCTGGAGAGCCTCACCAAGTCCCTCAGCCTTCCTTCAGCTATCCTCCAGCTCTTGCCTGATATTCTCAACCTCGAAGGCTTCTGGGGCTGGCATCTCAGCAGCCCGCCTCGAGTCAACCCCTCTACTAGCTTTTAGTGATTCAACCTTCCCTAAGAGCTTGAGATAGGAAGTCCGAATGTGCTCCATCTGACCAAACATCTCCTGATCCACAAGAGTGCCTCGAACCAGATAGCTCCGAAGGCTTAAGTGGAGGCCAACATTGGGATCTCTTCTCAAGAACTCGTCATCCTGAGGAAGGTAGAATTGCTCAACTTCCCTCAACTAGCCCACGTGAAAGCCGAGGACAGGCCCCCTGGCATCAAGATGGTGAGCAAACTCAAAGCGGTACATGGGATCGAACTCCCGCACATATCGTCGGCCGACCCTAAAGTCCCAATGATGTACACGCTCATCTTCTTCCATTCCTCTTCTACGATCTCATTAACACAATGAGAGAAGGGATATCCTAGCCCTGTGGAAGGCTCCGCCTCTTCATCAGCCGGCTCCTTCCTATGGTGGGATGACTTACTGTGATGACCAGACGGCCCCGCTTCACTGGCATGAGCTCTTGTCTCGACTCCCTCAACTTGAGGAGCCTCAGCTGGTTCCCTTGAAGCTGAATATCCAGATGGATGACCTCGATCTCAGGCTTCTCGGCCATCGCCCATACCTCCTGTTCTACATCTTCCCCTAGGGGATGCCTCCTACGTCCATGGACAAGGCTGGGGGCCTCTTCCTCCTCGGTCGCCTCAGCCTCGGTTGGAGGAATGTCCCGATGAAGACGCTTTGTAGGCCTTGCAGACGACTCCTCTTGAGGAGCAGTCAAAGGAACAGTAGGCATCAGAACTACCTTAGCGATCCCTATGATGATGGTTGAAGCTCTCTCATGGTCCTAGGTAGTAGCATGCATGACCCGACACACCTGAAATTCACAAGACCGACTTATCGAGAAGATGGTCGACTCGGCGAGAGCCATCGTATGACTTGATCACATCGATCGCCTCCCTCTCGTCCGCAAATAACTCACCTCCCATGAGCGCATCCCTCCTTATCTGGGGCCAATCGGAGCAACCCAACTTCAGGTCGTCCCCCACAACCTTGACGAATCTCTCCTTCCATACTTTGTACGAGTCAGGGAGGCCGGTAAGGAGCTTGAACTTCCCTACCATCTGAAAGTGGAAGTACGGCTCAGTCTGGTTCACCTTCACCACTACCAACAGGGCCAAGACCTGCAAGGATGGCCTTATCTCTATCTAGTGGTAGATCACCACGAGCCCACTAGGATAGCAATGTTGTTCGGCTTCATCTGCACCGGCAATACTCCCAGTGTCGTTAATACTTGCTTGAGGAAAGGATGCAGAGGCAATCACAAGTCTAATTCTGGATGCCTCAAGTAGAGCGGACCCTACTCCGACCCATGATCATATCTAGCCTCCGACCTCGTCAAGGCCATTAGCCCATATTCCTCAGGAACATCAAACCTTCTATGGATCGTCCTCTTATGTGCTAAAGTCACCTTGGAGTGAATGCTTGCCAAAAGAACTCGTCGATCAACAGGTTCAGATGCCATTGAATATTACAGAGGTGATCACTGGAAAGGATGAATGGAGAAGATTGAGTTCTCTAAAAAGGGAATTTGAAGAGACAATAACTGTCAACCTTATGGCCCTATTCCTATATATAGGCAGTGGCTTTACAACCGTCGAGATTTGAATGGTCGGATCAAGCCTTGTCTAACGACTAGGATTAGTTCTTAGAATCCAAAGTGCCCTCTCTGAGATCAAGGCACAACCCACTCGCCTCGAACAGCCCGTAATTTTCCAAGAAAAGTGGAGCTGTGGCAACCAAAATGAATATATGGTGACGTTAGCCACGTCTAGTATAAAGGGACTTTTTAGTTTCTCATTCACAGCATATCCATGTCCGTTCAAAAGCTAATTTGATTTTACTTGGACCTGGCTCAAGCCGACTCCAAGCGAAAGGGGCCAACTATTATGGTATTCCCATTCGCCAAAAAGCAACTCATTTCCTAGCAACGGACAGGTGTACTACATTCTATGCCTCAATCAAGTTTGCGGCTATAGACCGGTAAGGACGACAATTTAGCCGACTTGTCGAGTTGACATTCCCTCATGTTGACACGAAAGGCGGTACTTGTCACCCCTTTTTGTCGAAGACGACTCGCCACGAGCCCACTCGACCATTTGCTGGACGCCTCACGAGTACGACTCAAAAGGTATTACTTCTCGTTGAAGTTAAAGGATAACTTATGCCTCGAGCCTCTCCCACTGGTAACGTGTCTACATCGCATTTAATGCTTGGCAGGCATCATCATGCCTCTATCTTCGATAGCCTTCATGACTCATCGGAACACGTAGGCACTGTCATGCCACCAATCACTTCCTATTTAATGCTGAGCTGATCGTTTATCCAGTCGCCAGCTGACACCTGTAAAGTAGGTACTGACTCAGCCGCCAGCCCATACTTCGCCACCGCCATCATGTGCTCGGCCGAAGTGACCAATCTACCCTTATACCATTGGTATAAATGAAGGTACTATTCTATCTTTCACGGAGGACACAAATTAGAGATTGAGAATCGGATCTGATCTAAAACAGGACTTGATTTGAATCTTAATCTGATCTTTAAGAAGACATACTGTACACAAAAGAACTAACACGGTTCTTTATTTTTCCTCACTCAAGTTCATCAGCTAACTTGATTGTTGGAAGAACCACAGGGGAACCAAGCCCCGTCCTCTCACGAGTTCCTACTTGTGCAGATTCATCAACCCCACTCAAAAAGCCAAATATAAAGTAAGGGGAGAATGCGATCCCTCATCAATACTCAACAACACCATCCAACCACGAATACAATTGACTTTGTGATCACTAGTACATCAACAATATCGATACTCAATGTTATTTTATCCGTGATCAAGTAAAGAACAAGGAAGTTGAGCTTGAGTTTGTGAAATCGCAAGATTAGGTGGCTGACATATTTACCAAGCATGATGTGTTTACTTTATTGCAAGGAAAGCTCGGCGTGATTTAAGAATCAAGTTAAGGGAGAATGTTGAAAGTAAACTTGATTAATTACCTTGAGAATTGGAAAGATCATGTAGTTATTTGAGTAGCCAAATGCATGAATATGTTAGATGCATGAATGTTGTTGGGAAGTTCAATAGTCTTTGTTAAGAAGTCTAAGAGTCATTGTAGTAAAACATATGTGTGTGTTTTGTTGAAAGAAGCCAAGCAAAGAAAAAAAACAAAAGAATAATTTTATCCTCATCCGAATTATTTATCATGGGTAAAATATTGTTATCAATATCCACCAGATCAATAATTGTCAGGATAATATATAGTATCCTGTTGATATTAATGTAACATCATTTTTTTAATGTGTGTGTAATTAACACTGGATATTAACCATCACATTACCATACTATTCACAAAAAATGGACGTTTGCATGCCTTAATCGCAGTCTATGAAACAATACTCACCAGAGGCCTAGCGTATCACATTACATCACTCCAAAAACAGCTGTACAGACAATTTTCCTTCAGAAGAAACAGAAGAAGGAACATGACACTAAAACAATTTCCCATGTACAGTACACAATAATAGGAAGACACCAACTCCTCCAGTTCATGAATGGTGGCCTATTAGCTTTATAGCCTCTGATTAAAGCTTCAAGTGATCATGAAGCAGACTAGATACTTAAGGAAGGATATTCCAATATACTTCAGTAATCTTACTTGCGAGAACTCGCTCTCGTCTTTGAATATTTCTATACGGGAACCAACCAGCTTTGCCTTTACATTCACCTTCTGCCCATCCATTGCTGGATACCTGTGAGGAAAATCATGAACACGGAATCGCAGACAACAATAATCACAATTAGCTCATTTAGAATTTCAGCTAACACTCATGCGGAAGAGAACTACATGGTTACTATGCAGGCAAATGGTAGAAAAATCAAATCCACCTTGGAAAGACTATATTTTCTTGCCAGATTGTCTTTTTTCAGATTCTACAAAATATCAAACTAATAGAAATCCGAAAAGGTGCGCGACTTAGTTCCTTCTCAGTGGCCTCGTGAGGGAGGGAAGAAGGCTACGAAGTGTTAATTTAAGGCAATCTCAGCGAACACTTTCCTGGGGCATACGCAAGCAGAAAACTGCCTACGTATTTTATGAACACTTACGATAAATGACTACCCGCGTTATGAGGACCACTCAAATACAATACCCTGTCACAGGTTCCTTCCAGTACTTAAGTCTGTTTCTTAACGTCACTAATTAGAAGCCTTCCAAATTATCCATTGAAATGGTTTTCTATCTACCCGTACAACAATTATCAATTATCAATTTTAACAAGTGATGGTATGATGTAAATTGCTCCGCAAGATGTAATTCCCACGGGCACAAGATGTAATTCCCACGGGCAAATGACTCTACAATTTTCATCTCATCATATATAGAGCAAGAGGCAGTATCAGCAGAAAACCATTAATGCAAAAGATCTTTCTAGCGTAACAATAAGTATGTACCTTCCTTACAACAACATAGTCGCCAGCTGACAGGTTAATCTCAGCATCTGTCTCAGCCTGAAATGAAAGCATAACCTGCAAGACAGTGAAGAATAGAAAATATACATGCAGATGTTTTAGATGACTATTACTAATTAGAACACCTTGATAAGCATTGAGCACAGAAAATTTGAGCTTTGTACTTCGGCTAGAAAGTATTCCATGGACTCAGCTGGACCATCATTTTGGGAGACGTACATGCCACTGTCTTCTTCATATGACGGTGGTGAAGGCATACAGTTTTTCATGACAGGGCGAGGAGACACTTCATTTCTTAGGAACTCAGACGTCATCTGTTAACGTAAATGAACGTTAGAGAAAGAGCAGCAAAAATATTATGAAATTGGAATAATCCAGTTCCTTCAATAATACAACAAAAAAGTTTAAAGTTCAACTCCATTGAAGCATGTTATGCAAACAATACAACAAAAGAGCTCCTGGGCATATTAATTAACTTGCCTCTCCCTCAAGCTGTTCAAGTATTGCTGCCATCCTTTGATGATAGGTTCGCTCTGCTTCAATCTTTAAATCAGAAGGGGATAAAACACAAAAAGTTCTTGGCTAAGCTACCATTGGAATGCTGAAAGTGGTGTGATCAAAGCACCATTTTAGATAATTAAAAACATACCATCTCCAAAAGTAGCTGTAAAGTTAACCTTTGTTGTTGGGCTTCAACCTCAGTCATTGCAGCAACTGCTTCCTTACCTAATGCTGACATATTTGATTTCAACTCTTGCAGCTTGGATTCTGCCGCTTCCAACTTTAAGTTATTTTCTGTGTTTCCAGGGACTTCCCTGAGCTTCTGTTGGCGCTTGGAAACTTCTATAGTCTGTGAGGGTAAAAAGTAAATAAATAAAAGCAGGAAAATAACAGGGGAGCTGGTTTGCTTCGGAAAAAAGTTGGAAATAAGAAGTAAAAAGGTGGAAAAAATGAAAATCATGACAGAAATATTGTAAATTAATATATGTTAGTTATTTGAACATTCAATTAATATAGATTTGGTGGGTGACTCCTGGTTTCATGAGCTTAAATGTATGATAAAAAAGGATATATTACTAAATGCCCCATTTCTCACCGAGAATTTATAATAGGATCTTGTTCATATTTCCTTGGACCATACCCATGTTTGAAAGGACCCGAGATTTACAATCAAAGCAAAACTGAAGCAATATTGGATTTTTATCTGGTTTGGGTTTGATTGCTTGTTAGTTTAATTAGTTGTACTTCAGGTTTACAACAGTCTTTGAAGAAGTCTTTTATTAGAGTTTTATTTTTCTTTAATTTTGGATTTTAAGTTAAATTAAAGCCTGAAGATAAGACATGGTGCTTGCTATCTTAGCCTAAGAGTCGGTTAAAATTCTTAGGTGTGTTACAGTTGGAAATTTTTTACTTAAACCTCCATTACAACCACCTTTGAATCTTGAAATTATCAATAGCTTACTGTGCGCAGCGGAAATTTCGGCAGCACTTCTGGTGCACACGAAAGAGAGTAAGATCACAACTAAATCTCTGTTTCACAAAGGAAACAAGAATCAACAGTGATATATCTCAACAAAGTGGGATATACACTCTTCCTCTAATCAGTTCTAGGACTGACTTGTCGAGGGAACCTAAGAAGCTATTACAAATCACAGCAAGACATCGAATTTTACGTGGTTCGGCAAGTTGCCTACGTCCACGGGGCAATGAGAGGGGAGATCTACTATTAAAGAGAAAGAGAATACAAATAGTGTTTACAAACACACAAAGTCTCACAAATAAAACCCTCAAACAAGCTCTCAATTTCTCTCAAAAGCCGCTTGAAAAACACCTCTGATCTTTCCCACACACGTCCTTTTTCTCCCCCTGCAGTAACCCTAGCCGACTAAGCCCTATGTAGTTTTTTCTCCTCTTGCACACTTCCGTACAAACCAAATAAAAGGTATATATATATAGCTGAGATGCGGTCAAAAGAATCAAACTCGAAACTCGCTGGAGCGTGGGCTATGAATTGTTTCATACGGGTGGGCTTTGGGTTGTTTCACGCACGTTCCCACGTCAATTTGCTATTGAACATGGATGTGGCCCCCACACCCCACATTCGCAATTCTCTACATCAGTAAAGTTTTCCTAAAACTAAGCCGATACCAAAGCAACCAAACGTCCCACTTGTTACGTCCAGTACGAAGTGCAGTAAATCCATGACAACGGACTCAATCCACAACAAGTCGGGAACCCGAATGAGAGCTCAATCAATCTCCCCCATTGAAATCAACTAATCCAACCCGGCTGCATCTTAAAGACTGCCTACGTATCATCTTGCCTAAGAAATCAAGCATAATGTAATTCACCCAAATGGCCTCCAAAGGCCTCAGCACCGAAGAATGTTTAAAAGCTCCAAACAATGATCAAACTTAACACCTGAAACAACTTTGGTCAACATATCCACAGGGTTATCCTTTGTGTAGATCTTCTCCAATATGACATCACTGTCATCCAAAACATCACGAACAAAGTAGAATCTGACATTAATGTGCTTCATGCACGTATGATAAACCTGGTTCTTTGTCAAATAGATAGCTAACATGCTATCACAATACACCCGAATGGTCTCCTGTGCAATCCCCAAGTCCTCCAACAATCCACATAACCACAAAGCCTCCTTCACAGCTTCAGTCACTGCCATATACTCCGCCTCTGTAGTAGAGAGAGCCACTATAGACTGAAGTGTATATCTCCAATATACCGATGCTCCTGCTAATGTAAAAACATATCCTAAAGTAGACCGACACTTGTCAAGATCCCCCGCATAATCTAAATCCACGTATCCAATACAATCCTGCCCTGACTCCATATTCTTCTGAAATACCAAACTAACATCTACGATACCTTTGATATACCAAAGAATCAACTTCAGGGTCTCCCAATGACCCTTCCCAGGGTTGCGCATGTACCTGGATATCATGCTCACGGCCTGTGATAAATATGGTCTCGTACACACCATAGCATACATCAAACTACCTACCACACTGGTAAATGGAACCTTCGACATATATTCTCTATCCTCAACTGAAACAGGTAGCATCAAAGCTGAAAGTTTGAAGTGGGGAGCTAATGGAGTACTTACTGCCTTTGTATTTCCATCAAAGCTGAATTTCTTCAACATATTCTGCATATAACTCCTCTGTGTAAGCTTTAATCTCCCCTTCGCCCTGTCTCTCTCGATCTTCATACCCAATATCTTCTTCGCCTCTCCAATATCCTTCATCTCAAACTTGGAAGACAACTCTTTTTTTAACTTTCGAATAGCCAAAGAATTCCTGGAGGCAATAAGCATATCATCAATATATAGTAACAAATAGATGTACTCACCATCCTGTAAGGTGGATGTAAACACATGGGTCATATGGGCTCTTCGTATACCCTCGACCAATCATAACGTTGTCGAATCTCTTGTACCATTGTCGCAGTGATTTCTTCAATCCATAAAGAGACTTCTTCAGCTTGCACACCAATTCTTGCTTTCCTACAGCTTTGAACCCTATAGGTTGTGTCATATAGATCTCCTCTTTTAAATCTCCATGTAGAAAGGTTGTCTTAACATCCATCTAGACCAAATCCAAATCCAGTTGTGCCACCAATGCCAATAGAATCCTAATCGACGAATGCTTTATAACAAGTGAGAATACCTTATTGTAATCAACACCCTCAAGCTGTACATAACCCTTGGCAACCAATCTAGCTTTGTACCAAATGTCCCTAATAGAACATCCCTCTTTTTTTACATACACCCACTTGTATCCAATAGCCTTCTTACCATTCGGTAGCTTTGTAAGTTCCCTAGTGTCATTCTTATGAAGAGAGCGCATCTCCTCCTCCATAGCTTCCCTCCACCTGATCGAATCAGAGCTAGACTCTGCCTCCTTGAATGTAGAAGGAACCAAATCATCAACGATCTTAATTGATAAGGTATATGCAATCATGACATCATTATATCTAGCTGGCCGACGAATCACTCTTTTAGGTCTGTTTATAACAATGGACTCCCGAACATGATCTTACTCCTGAGTCTCACTATCCACTGTATCCTCTATATGCCTGGCCGTCATCCCATCTCCTCTCAGTGTCACCTCTGTACGAGCCTCAATGGATACAATGCTATGGAGAGGGTAGAGTCACATCATCCTCCACCTACTGTGATATCCCTCTTGTCTGGTCTCCTTCCACCTGCTGAGGGACTTGAGGTTTTATCATATACGCCTCGTTGAATGTAATATCTCTGCTAATAACTATCTTCTGGTCCTGTGGATCCCACAATTTGAAGCCTTTTACTCCTTCTCTAAAGCTCACAAAGACTGCTTTCTTTGCCCTCGGATTCAATTTATCATCACTGACATGGTAATAAACTCGACACCCAAATATCCCAAGCGACTCATAGTTACTAGACACCGAACTAGACCAACGTTCCATAGGAGTCTTTCCCTGTATCGCAGTGTACGGTAACCTATTCATGAGATGGCTCACATAAACCAATGCCTCGGTCCAAAAGGATCTTAACAATCCACTCTGTGTCATCATACATTACACATTCTCCAGCAAGGTACGGTTCAACCTCTTAGCCACCCCATTCTGTTACGGTGTCTCACGAACTGTGAAGTGTCGTCTAATGCTGTGATCCTGGCAAAACTGTAGAAACATATCACTTTTATACTCTCCTCTATTGTCCGAACGAAGAGTCTTCACCTTTCTACATATCCGCATCTCCACTTTCTTCTTCCACTCCACAAAAATATTCAGGACCTCATGTTTATGATTCATAGAGTATACCCAATTTTTCCTGGAATAACCGTCAAAGAAAGTGACAAAATAGTTGGCCTCACCAAGTGATGTGTGCTTGGAAGGGTCCTAAACATCTATGTGAATGTAGTCCAATATACCTTGGGTATTGTGAATAGCAGTGCCAAACTTCACTCTCATCTTCTTCCCAAGTACACAATGCTCATACAGCTCTATCTTGTAGGTCTTTGTACCTTTCAATAGCCCATGTTTCGCTAATGCCTGCAAGGACTTATCACCAGTATGTCCTAAATGCATGTGCCATAAACTTATAGTGTCCTCCTCTATAGTGATAGAAGCTGCCAGACCCCCTATAATTGTCTTGCCTTTCAAGTAGTATAGGTTGATTTCTCTGACAGCACACATCACCACCATGGACCCCTTCGTGACATTCAGAGTTGCATTCTCCAAGATCACCCGATAGCCAGCTGCCTCTAAAGTTCCAAGTGAAATAATATTCTTCGTCAACTGCGACACGAACCTTACTTCCTTTAGCTCCTGAGTCACCCCGTCACATGGGGATACAAACTGTACCAATACCATCAATAGGGCGTGATCATTACTCATAAGCACGACATCCCCTCTTTCCAACTCCTCAAAGCTGGAGAACCAATCCCTCCTAGGACAAATATGGTATGTAGCACCAGAATCCATCATCCACTCCTTAGAGTCAGCGTAACAAACTGACGGTAATGCTAAGCATAAAAAACTTGAAGAATCCGTATCTGAATTGTCATCACTATCCTTAACAACATTCACTTCCGAAGCTTGTAAAGCTTTCCCTTTATTCTTCTCGGCTTTATCTTTTAACTTTGGGCACTCGTTCTTCTAATGTCCTTCTTCTTTATAAAAACGACACTAGTTCCTACCAACACTCTTCTGACCACCTTTATTTCTCAATTTTGAATAGTTGGACTGCCAACGGTTTGGAGTACAGCCTCGAACTGCTAATGCATCTCCCGATGCCTTCTCGGAGGGTTCGTTATCACTTTTCCTCAATTCATAATTTACCAAAGCTAAGGTCACCTCCTTATAACTAATAGTAGTTCCTCTCATCAGTTCTAGGAATGACTTGTTGAGGGAACCTAAGAAGCTATTACAAATCACAGCAATATAACGAATTTTATGTAGTTCGACAAGTTGTCTACGTCTAAGGGGCAAGGAGGGGGAGATCTACTATTAGAGAGAAAGAGAATACAAATAGGATTTACAAATACACAAAGTCTTACAAATAAAACCATCAAACAAGCTCTCAATTTCTCTCAAAAGCCGCTTGAAAAACACCTCTGATCTTTCCCACACACGTCCTTTTTCTCCCCCGGCAGTAACCCTAGCCGACTAAGCCCTCTGCAGTTTTTTTCTCCTCTTGCACACTTCCCTAGGAACCAAATAAAAGGTATATATATATATATATATATATATATATAGCTGAGAAGCGGCCAAAAGAGTCGAACTCGAAACCCGCTAGAGCATGGGCTTCGAATTGTTTCACGCGGGTGGGCTTTGGGTTGTTTCACGCATGTCCCCACGTTAATTTTCTGTTGAACGTGGGTGTGGCCCCCCACGCCCCATGTTCACATAGCTAAGATATACCGTGAGAATAACATTGTGCACGCTCAGCCAAGATGCAATCAAGAGTGCAAGGTTGGCTAAGTTTAATTTACAAGTTCTGAACAGTCAAATCAAGATAGCTGAATTAACTTGTAGAAAATAAGGACTCATCACAATAAATGGATTAGAAGATCTTTGAAATGACAATAATTGGCTCTCCAAAAACACTTCTCACTGAACACCTAAACATAAACTTCACCTACGCTCCATATTGAGCATGCATATCAAAGTGCAGAAGGTGTATGTATGAGCTCTTAAAGCAACCCAAAAATGTTAAAAGAAACTCAAGATAACCTACGACTAAGGTGTCATTGAAGGAGCTCAATAAAAAATCACCAGACTAAAGTGGATGCTTCGAAATTCTCTAATTTTGTATACAACTATTTCCAACCAAAAGAATTGGTGGTCCATTCATTTTGGACATGACAATTGTTTGGCAAAACTATGTTCTCCACAAATGATTTTTCTCTTTTAAAGTGTTGGATAGCAGGTTCTTAATATGTTTCCTAATTTATTTTGGTAACAGGTTATTGGGATTCCTAATCTGTTTTGGTAACAGGTTATTAGGATTCCTAATCTGTTTTAGTAATAGGATTCCTAATCTGTTTTGGTAACAGGTTATTAGGATTCCTAATCTATTTTGATTTTGGTTTTAGAATTCCTAGTATGTTTTTGGTTTTAGAATTTCTATATAAATGGAACGTTTTAGAAGAGAAAATAAGTAAAGGGGAATTTGAGAAACTTCTGAGCTGTATGTTTGAAAGATTTTGTGAGAGATTTGAGAGCTTTGTTTGAGAGATTAATTTATGAGGTTTTGAATGATTTTGTAATCTCTATTTGTACTCTCTCTAATAGTGAAAACCCATCCCCTTCTTGCCCCGTGGACGTAGGCAACTTACCAAACCATATAAAATTGGTTTGTTTGTGTTTCTGCCGTTATTTTTTATCTTGTGTGACATTCTCTTGGCGTTTGCGTGGATTTTCTCGAATCCCAACAAGTGGTATCATAGCATAACAAGTGTTATCAGAGCCTAGGCTACGCTTGGGGATTAGTGTAGGAGTAGATCACTTTGGAAGCTCGTCTAGGATTTCAGTTAGAGACAAAGGTGTGATTTTTACTATTGTGGACCTTGTC